CTTAAAGAAAAAAAAAACCTTCAATTCTAGCAATTACAAGCACAGAACAGCGTCCTATACTCACAAGTCCCAAAGAACAAACCTTACTAACTCTTGGAAACCATCATAATTTTCTTTAACTACACATTCTAAGAAAAACTTGTGTTTAAATAGATCCTTATAAGTGTGATGAATGGTCAATCTAACGCTTTCACTTTCATTAAAGGGCACATCAATCCATCAAACAATTGGAATTGGTATAACCTTTTCTTTAAGTTGGTAAATATGAATAAATCTTAATGACACTGCTGGAAACTTAACCTGTATAAAATATCTCTCTTCTGTTTATTTTCTAAACTACGAGTTTCCACTCCAACAAATTTCAGTTAAAACAATAATCACAGATAACATTGAAAATTCAATCTTCTTAATTAGAGGGGTGTAAGGTTTATTCAATCAACCTTAATTGTATTTTTGTGGAAAATAAACAAGAAAATCAATTAAGTTGTAAGATAGCCCAATGTTTTCAGATTCTTTTTATGTATAAATCAGTAAACTCCGTAATTTGAAAGTTTGAGGCTTTAAAGTTTTGTTGTTTGTAACTTAACACAATAGACTATGAGAACAAGATTAAACGATTATAAAAGTACTTTCCTCGTAACAATGTGACACAAATAAATAAAGTATATATATTTTATATATGAGTCCAAGAAAGTTTAAAAAATATTTTGTTCTACAAGCATAAACTTTAATTTTTAAAATGTTAATCATTCAAATGGTTTAGAAAATATACAACGTTAAAGGCCTATCTCCTAGTTACAAAGGTATCGTCTACAAATCTACAATACCACAAACGTTCAGATTCCTCGTATAAAAATCTATAGTCAAACAAGGGTTTTAACTGTAAAAATATCGTTAAGGTTTAAGTTAAATAGTTCTAATCTAAAAACGTAGAGAGAAACAACGGTTTTTCTTACAGAGGTGTCGTTCAAAAACCAACAATAAATGAGGAATTATGACACATTTAAATAACAAAGATATCACCCAAAACTCCATATTAAAATAAAGGTGAAAATTACAGGATTGTCGTAAAGAAATTCTATAGTAAAACACGAATTTCAAATGATATAGATATCGTCGAAAACTTACATTAAAACAAACATTTAAATTATAGAGTTGCTGTCTATACAGCTACAGTAAAACAAATAAATTAAAGAGGCTAAATTCGCGGGGAATGCAGTATGTCTCCGCCACACAAACACAACATGGCCAATTTCGACACCAGAAAATTTGGAAAAAAACATATAAAAAATTAAAATTGTTTATATCAATGTTTGGGACCTGCAAGAAGGTATCTTTGTACCAAATCCCATATAACTTGGTTGACGTACACGTGAATAGTTCACGGAAACTCCAAATTGTGCTTTACTCCCTGAAGAATCAAGTAAAAGACAAAAATTCCAAAATTATCTATATTTCTGTTTGGGACTAACAAATAATATTTTTTTGCTAAATGCCACGCAAATTGGCCGAAAAATTAACCCAATCCCATAAAATTATGCTCTTTGTGACCTTTTGACCTCCTTAAAATGACCAAAAATGGGTCTATCGCACATTTGTTTGTAAGTATATGGATGAGACTTGTAGAAAGGTATCTATGTAAATACCATAGATATGGTAAATGCCAAATCTCATGTAAACTGTTCAAATAATGGCCGAGTAATTGACCAACAATCCCAAAAATAAGCTTTTTGTGAACTTTGACCCCTGAAAAGACTCAAAATGTTAAAATTCAACCTTTTTGTTTGTCAGTGTCTTCGGTGCATGAAAATATATTTTTTTATTAATTTTCATCTTGATTGCTGCAAATATGACCCTACAGGAGCTCAAAATATACATATTTGGGTTGTTTGGCTTTTGATCCCATAAAATCCCTAAAAAGGCCTAAATAAAAAAAAAGAAGGTGAAAAGAAGTCTGGACCTATTGGACCAAGGAATATCCATACCAAGTTTCAAGTCAATCCGCCGAAAACTAAAGAAATGACGGACGATTGAAATGTGTTTGGAAGAAAAAGAAGAAACAGTAGAAAAACAATATATATATCTCTACGGAGACATAAAAAGATATCTACAGGAATTGTATATTAAAATGACGGTTTCTGCTTATAAAGGTATCGCCTAAATATATATTAAACAAAGGTTTATGTTATACGGAAGTCGACTACAAAGCTACAGTAAACAGAGGTTTAAATAATAAAGACATCACAAAAAATATATAATAAAATCAAAAGTTTAAACTATAGAGTTGCCGTATAAAATAATTTGTAAAAAACATGGGTGTTGACTTCAAGAATATCGTCACAGATCGACATTAAAACAAATGTTTAAATTACAGAGTTGTCCCTAACAAAACCTATAGTAACAGGTTTTCACGTAATAAAGATATCACGTAAACTCTGTGATCTATATTGTTGCGTCAGCAGTCACATGACTACAGTGACGCAACGTTTCTAGAACTATCATGTACTTTCTCGAATGTTCAAGTTCTTACTAGAAATAGGGTACGCTGGTATATAAAAGAGGGAAGGTAATGTAGGTGTAGATAGTGAGTAATTGATCTGCGGTCGGAGTATTATTGACGTTCGTTGCTATAGCGTTTGTTTAGCGCGATTGTTGAGTGTATCGGTTAAGTTATATTCGGAAAGAATAAACCAGTTTTATTAAGTAAAGGCTTGTGTCGCTTAAGTTTCGTCGGTACGAAGTTACGGAAAGTTAATTAACAAACGGAGACGTAACAAATTGGTGTCAGAGAGTGGGATAGAAAAAAAAAGAGAGAAGAAAACGAGAAGCGGAAAATCAAACTACAGCTTAGCAGACTTGATGGCAGCAATACAAAAACAAGAAAGGAAACAGGAAGAAAGTCTCCAACAGTTGCAAGAAAGTCAGCAGCA